ATAAAACTTGTGTCTCTTATGGTTGCCGTACGGAAACGGAGAGATGCCGTGTCTGTACAGTTCACTACCGGCCGATTGTTTGAGGTACCGGCCCTCCAATAGCCGGTCAATTTTGATTGTATCGCCCATTTAGTGTTTTATTTTTCCTGTATGTACTGTAAATCTATAGAGAATATTAAATAGTCTATACAAATACATGTATCTCAAAATAGTGTATAATAGACCATTATTAATGGTTTAACTGCTAGTTAAATAATTATGATATAAAATTAATTTTCTTTATGCTATCATTAATGTAGAGTATTTTACTGTCTATTTGTTTTATTAAATTTACTAGTTTGAAATGAGAATAAAACTAATTATGCATATATAATTAAATATGCATGCATCATATTTGCAAATTCACTTGCTAAAAAGGTCAGGGACAGTATTAAACAATTAATTAGAATTGTCAAATATGTAACATTTGCAAACATTTGTAAAGTAACTGCACACATCAATAATTTGTAGCTTTAACAACTTCTTACAAGTTAGTTAATATATTATTTGAAATGAACCACATCGAAATTATAATGGATGACCTTACTATTCTTTATAAATAATTATTATTATTAAATAATGTAACGTGTTACTTGTGGTTATTCTTGAAATGCAATTATCAAAATTCTCATAACAAAACTATAATTATATTAATACTAATTATAAATAGATTATCAATATTTTAGCTTAACCGTGTAAATTTTCTGTATTACGTTCTGTGCATTGTTGTTGTAGAGAAAGTATTAATTTTATTGATATTATTTAATTTGTTTTTCATATGATTTGGATTTACATATTGTGTGCTTTAATAATATAACCTCTAAATGTCATGAGTCATGACATTAATAATTTCACTTGATTAAATGACCAAATAATTAATTGTGCTAATTATTATTTTTGTATTAAAACATTGTTAATGCTATGTACCCAAGAATACTTTAACAATTATAATATGTAAATCTTATCTATGTAAGAATTGCAATAATTTTATATTAACATAAAGTATACTTCTTAATATTTATTTGCTATAATATCAAAATAGTTAATAGTATTAATTTATATAATAGTTCTTTCTTGTAAATCTTATTTATATTAAATTAAACCATAAGCTGTAATTATGTTGGTTAATATAAATGACCAAATTGAATATTTGTACCACGTTATACCATTAATTTACCTAAACCCTAAGAATATATATCACTGCAAAGTTACCCTAAATATTACTGAAATAACTATGGGCGATAAAATCAACATGTTTTATCCCGGTGTAAGTAAAACTAAAATTATAATATTAATTTAATTAAATTTAGTTTAATATTACTAGGAGCGACCTAGTTTGATGTCATTTACAATAATAATAATTATTAAATATCTTGCATGTAATTTAAATGCAATGGTAAAATTATCATCAAAATTCTTTCATAACTCACACGATAAACAAGAAATGGTAATTTTTTAAGAAAAATTGTTCATGATTAATTTAATAATAGAATTTGCAAAATAAAACTGAGGGAGAGAACATATTTGCATTAATTATTGCAAACTTAATTAAAATTATTGTTATTTTTTTAGATATTAACCACTACTCAAACACTACCGACATTAGCGATAGGTTACATACAAAGCAATTACACGGGAATAACCGGACAAACGGAATATTTATTGAAAATAATAAGTGGACTAAAATTATCACATATTACACCATACATGGCATGGATTCAATTATTTGATTATAAAGTAAGTTTCTTACAATAATTGTAATTATTATTCTTACAATTATTGTTAAAATACACTAATACTTCTATATGTTAAACACAAGTGCATAGAGAGATCTAGATCTAAATTAATATGTAGAATCCACATAATCTACATTGTAGATTAATTAAGATGCACAATAGATTATTAAGTGCATAGTCTGTATTAAATTCAAAATTAATATTACAAAGAAAGCTTTATATTTTATTACAGATTTGGACATGTTTGCTGATTTTCTCAGTAATACTTTCATTACTCATGCGATATAAATATCAATTACAGAATTCAACATTTGATCCATTTATTGAAGTATTCAAATGTTTAACAAAACAGTCGTCTATTATATTGAGAAATCGCAATAATATTAAAAGTATGAAAGGGTTACCAATAAATCCAATGGTTGTAGTGATGTATATATGGATAATAAGTACACTAATCATAACGAGTGCTTTTACCGGTGTTTTGTTGAACACGTATTTCAATGTAAAACTCATACCAATTGTCGAAACACTGGAAGATATCGTAAACAATAATGAACTATTGGTTACGACAAACATGGATTACATATATTTCACAATTGTACCCAAAATGAACCCCGAATACGAGCAAATATTTCAAACACTAGATGATAAATTTGAGAGATATGTCAATATTGGTAATAAAACTAATAAAATAACACATCCAACAGATCTAGTTCTGTCGCCACTGATAGCCAACGATATGTTTAACGGGTTTGTAGTGTTTATAACGCCGAGTAAAACAAGCCATGAATTTGATATAAAATATAAATCTTATAGCAATATGTATGTTGTGAGTGAAAATAACTATTTTCACGATTTTAGTAATTTTATTGTCAATAAAAGGCATAAATACTATAAACAAACCGTATATCTGTAAGTAATCATGTGCTATTTGTGCACTTTGAATTTTATAAACTACATATTAATTTATAATTAATTGATGATTGTAAAATCACTCTCTATGTAGGTATAAACAAATATATGAATCTGGCATTAATTATCATATAGATACAATTGACGATATTGTATCAAGGAATTGGTACAGTGTTAAAGCAAGATCTATTAACATTTCAATTAAGGACAATTCAATAGATAACATCATTAAATTAAGCGACATGTTTCGCAATAGTTTTATCGTATTGTTATCGGGATATTTTATTTCAATAATTTTAATAATTGCTGAAAAATTATTTTTACATATTTAAATATAAATGTAACATATCTCACATTAAATGCAAATGATCAAGCTTAACCAATTGGACAATGAGTATATTAAACATGACAAATTTGATACAATAGTCAACAAATTCGTGGCTATTCATCGGGAAGAGATCACCGCAATAGAAACCAATGGTCGGGCCGTTCAGGTGCTCAATATAATTAGCCACAAACAGCCGATCTTTTACCGTCATGTATGGGCTCGATATGGCCTGAAAGCTATGCAAATAATCGCGTGACTTATGGGCAATTAGCGAGAGTCCAGCGCACCTATAATTCAGCGTAAACAATATGGTAACAAATAGTAGGCTTAAAAAGCCAAACAATAGTCGGGCAAACATCAGGGTTTGTTTATCGACAGATAAGTATATGAATAGATTGGCCGCCGGTGTGGCCATAAAGTATATGCTAAACATAATGGCCATCATCAATTGGTTTAACATGTATACTGTTTTAGTGACCGATTGGTGATCGTGTATTAATTTCATCAGCCAAATGGTGTCGGTAGTTTTAACGCAAGCGATTAGATCATGATTAATTTGCCTAAATTGGTATGTAGTGTATTGTATGCTAAGCAGCCAAACGGCTGACCCAACAAGTATAACGCTAAAGAACTGGTAGGCAAACCACACGTCCACTATTGACCACAGTATAACAATTGGTAGCGATACCAAGTGGCCATCTATACAGTCGACAACTGTTTTGAGTAACAACAGGGCTGATAGTGTTATAAACAATGGCATGAATAGTGTGTTTATCATATTGGCCGTGGTGTTTGTTAATTTTCCAAATTTGCGATGGTAAAATACATTAAGTGTGCATGTTGCTATTGATTGAGATTTTATCATGGCCAAAAATCCAATCATGTGATGTCCATGAGTTAGTTCTTTGTAGTTAATTATGGTGGCGATCGCCAGCACCTGACAGCTCATAAAAGCAAACAGGGCTGAGACAACCCGTGTCTGGCCTATTATATAATTTGAATTAGCTAGTAGATAACTGTTAATAAAATTATAATGGTCAAATATGGTTAAAATTGTAAATCGCAACCAAAATAAGGCTAATATTATACGAAATATAACAATAATAGCGAGTCGTTTGTAATTAATGTTATGTTTGTTGTAATCACTAAATGATTGCGATATAAATACAAAATTTTTATTGAAAAATGTTTCAATTTTTTCCAATCCAAGCGTAGGGTTAGCGCTATTATCTAAATAATCATGTATATTTTGTACAATTTTGAACATTGTTTGTTTTACATTTAAAATATAGCGACGATATATTGAAAAAAGCATTTTTGTGAATAATACACAAATTAAATTTTTTGCACATTTATATAAATAATCATAATGAATTTGAACTCAATATAATGAACGTTAATAAAGTTAATGCATAATAGCTATGATCTGACGTACAATGCATATAATTTAATTATTTATACTTATTTTATGTTATTTGAAATGACAAGTTCATCAATAATCATTATAAACTTTGTGCTCGTTAAAGTAACAAAGTTTTACAAATATATTGTACCGTACAATTTGTACGTATTGTACATTAATGTAAAAGCATAACAATATCTAATAGCATCTATAAATCATTTTTAGTTATATAGTGCAACTTCTCTTGAAGGAACCCCTCTTCATAAAAAACTGAATTGAAATGTTTGTTAAATTTCCTATAATGTTAAAATTACATCTATAACAATATGTGAATAACTGATTGTATCAATCAGACATTTCATGAGTCACTTTGTATGATCAAGTGTTTGTGTGCTCAACATATCATAGACTATTTAACTAATGTTGCATTACATACGTATATAGTTAAACAAATAACCTAGAATTTATAAATCATCATTTTTAGTTATATTTAATTATTTCAAGTTTATTGTATTTATGAACGTTTTATATGAACTCATTTATTACACGTGGATATCATGTGATGTATATTATTGTTGGGTTTATGAGGTTTGTATTGATCTCATGACTAAACATGGGATCAATTTGTGGTGATTTTCGTGGTTTAAGTCGAAGACAATTGTATTCAAAGATCAATGAATTGCAAAATGAAAACAATTGTTTGAAAACAGATTTATTGAGATTTCAATTATTGACACAAATGTATGAAAAATATATGAATTTTTTGTGTGAATTGAATGAAACGATTGAAACAAATATTGAAAACCATTTCATAAAACANTTTAAATGATATAAAACCCGAAGATTTGAATCAAAATGAAGACAATTATAGACAACAAACACAACACAAGGGATCCACTGATGAAGAAGTCATACAATCAGACATTGAATCCAATGATGGCATCGATTGTGATATTAATGTGGAATCAGATAACGAGACAATTGACGGAACAGTTGATGAAAGTGTTGTCACAAATCAAACGCAAGACATAAGTATTACTGAAGAAACAAATGATTTAAATGACAAACGAAGCGAACGGTTGTCTCAAAGAGACGACAATTCAATTCATAAAACTTCAGACAAAGGGTTTTGTGTCGAAGAAAACACTGAATCAGACATTGATTCAAATGATGGCATCGATTGTGACATTAATTGTGATTCAGATAACGAGACAATCGGTGGAAGTGTTGATCAAAATGAAGACATGAATGACAGACAAGACTTGAATATTAATGAA